TAACGAGCACCACGTGTACGCCCATGCGCAGTTACCACAGGTAGGGGCTTAATGACTATCACGTGTACGCCCATGCGCAGTTACTACATGTAGGGGCTTAACGAGCACCACGTGTACGCCCATGCGCAGTTACCACAGCTAGGGGCTTAACGACCATCGCGTGTACTCCCATGCGCAGTTACCACAGGTAGGGGCTTAACGACCATCACGCGTACTCCCATGCGCAGTTACTACAGGTAGGGTCTTAAAGACCATCACGTGTACGCCCATGCGCAGTTACTACAGTTTTGCCAGGTTTAATATCAACCATCCACCAACACCATGGTCATGTTTTGAAAACGAAAAGGCCCTTTGCAGCTCAGTAATCACGTGCTGATTAATTCACTGAGAGCAAATGAATGAACATCTTGATTCCCACGGGTGAAATATACTGGTGAGTAAACAAACTTTCTACAACCTGTTTCGAGAGATCGTAATAAAACTGCATTTCGTGACACACTACATACAGTTCTTTACAAGTAGCTAAAAAGAATCACCAATTTAAAATGAAATAAAAATTTTTGCTCACCAGTACAGACACGGGATCCTTAACTGCAAAGGGCCTATTCCAACTGATTAGAGCTGTGCTCCGGGGTCATACATGGACTGTATAGCGGCTGCCAGAGGCGCCTTCACATGCGTTCCGTTCTACCCAGTTGAGCTGCGCCACTGCTGTCCTTTGCGGTAGTGATTAACGATGACAATTTTGTGTTTGCTTTATGAATGATTGCGCAACCAACTATTCCATGTTTTCATATGTTGTTTTTGTTCCATCAGACCTCCCTCAGTTGGGTCTTTGGCAAGTCATTTCTGACCCCAGGATAAAATTTTTATTATTTCTATAGATTATTTTTTAAAGTAAAATCGATTCTTTTAAATTTAAAGCTGACGTCACTCGAGTTGCAGTACGTTTCTCCTAAGCTCCTGATGTCACGTGATCTCGAGCTAGCCGTACCAGGAACGTACGAGCCACACAAACCAGTCATACACATTCGTCACGTGCATTCGTCGCTTAACGTCATCACTTCTAAACAAAGACCTCGAAAACTTTGCATAACAGGTAAGTAATGACTAAATATCCCATGATCCTTTGCAGGTTATTCATGAAGGGGTATGGTCAAAACAGTAGTCCAAAATTGCCCTAATTCACTATGACGTCACTGCTTGTTTTTGTGGAGGATAGAATCGCCAAATCCAATAGAAAATTCAACAAAATTTGCTCCTAGCGAAACAGTTTAATCTAAAATGGCCTGGTTTTCAGATATAATATGTGCTAATATGTACTAAAAAATATTCTGAGCGTTTGCTGGCTAATCTACTTCTCTTCGTGGATTGATACAGGTTTTAGAACAATTTTCGGTGAATTTGCGTTGATTTGACCCCGTCAGACGACCATAATCCTTCGCGTTTAAACAATAGATTGTTGAATATTGTTCTGATGTGACGTCATAGTGAACTAGGGCAATTGGGACTCGATTTCATATACCCCTTGCATGTGACGTTAAAGTAGCTCAATTTGGAGGACAAAACAAGAGAATTTCAATCTACTTAGAATTAGAAACCCATTGTTATGTCCTCCAAACTGAGCTGCATTCCAACGTGATGAAAGGGGTATATTGATTGATATGGTGGCTACCCATAAATACCCCCTGCCACCCAGAGACCTGTTGAAATGCTCGAAACTGCGTGTCCATAGAGACTATTTCTATACAATACCCCGGTACTCCCTAACCAAATTATACAACGAATTGAAATATTCCAACCAATTTGAATAACTATTGTTCTGGAATGACTAGCGATTGACTAGCCTCTTATACATGTAAAATCACTCTCATGTTTCCACGTCAACACGAGGCACGTCATTTATTTTTCTCAAATTGGCCCCCATATTTCGATTCGGTGTATATTCGTTCATTTTTTCACCCATTCTTTCATTCGTTTTGTAGGGAGCAATGGATCCGAGTTCATGTTCCTCCTCAAAGGACACGAGGATTTGCGTCAGGACGAACGTGTCATGCAGCTTTTTGGTCTCGTCAACACATTGTTATCAAGTGACAGAGCAACATCCAAGAGACATTTGAGGTACCAAACTACCAGCTTTGGGCTCCCTGTGGTGTTAGCCTGACACAGGTAGCCCACACGTCCTAATAATTTATCTCTTTTCTTCACAGTATTCAACGATATGCTGTTATTCCACTCTCCACCAACTCTGGTCTGATTGGCTGGGTCCCGCATTGTGATACATTACATGCCCTTATAAGGGATTACCGAGAAAAGAAAAAGATCCTCTTGAATATTGAACACCGTATTATGCTTAGGGTAAGTAGACTTCCGGGTCCGGTTTTAAGGCTGTTATAACTTTGGGCTCCCTGTGGTCTGGCCTCGTTTAGTTTTCTTGTTACTCCTTTTCCAAGATGGATGAAAAAAAGAAAAAAAGAAAAGTACATTTATTATTTGTATTTTCAATTTGTTAACATTTTCCCATTTTTATCCCATTTTCAATTCATTCCATTTTTTCATCTGATATCACTTTATTTTTCCCAGATGGCTCCTGACTATGACCACCTGACGTTGATGGAGAAAGTCGAAGTGTTTGAACATGCTTTGGCCAATACTAATGGTGACGACTTGGCTAAACTACTGTGGCTGAAGAGCCCAAGCTCTGAGGTTTGTGTGAATAAGATATCCAAGCTAAGACCCATACTTGGGTGTTATGTAACACATGCCATTGCCTTGAGAATAAGATGTGTCCAACTCACTTCCTTATAAATGTACTGGTAATGATAGAAATAATAGTAAAATGAAACATGGTCTGAAATGGCAACAAATATTACACCAACCTCAATAGACCCATTTAACTTGGGCCACCACCACCACTACCACCATCTCCACCACCAACACTACCATCACCACTACCACCACCACTACCACCACC